CGCTTCTCGTCTGCTGCTGTGGCAGTGGCAGCCCATAGACCATGATACATCCTTTGTAGAAGTTATGAAGCATGCACTTATAGCACCTATACACACTCACTTTCTTGAACTGAAGCACAAATAAAACTGTTTTGAATTCTTTACGGATGCTTCCAAGTCTCATAGTGGAGTGTCCTTCGCTGCCGTTGGTCCATCATTTTCAAATTCTGGCATTCTCCACCCTAATTCAAGCATATTCACAGCAGAAACCTATGCAATAATTTTGGCCGCTAAACACAAAAAGGAATTAAAATTACAACATGCGGTAATATTCACTGACTCTCCGAGCGTCATAAAAGCTTTGAATACCCTCAAAAAACATAAAAATCCTGTATTTTTGATGCTTTACTCTCTTTTATGCACCATCTATTCACTCAAAAAACAAGTTGTATTGTGCTAGGTGCCAGGGCACCGCAATATCGGGGAAAATGTTTTGGCGGACCAACTGGTTGCCTCAGCTCACGACAATGCTAACACTAATACATCTATGGCTGTCGCTGTGTTGGAACTGAAACATCTCGTAAGGCAAAAGCTCAGGGCGTATTGTTAGCTATCTTGGGTAAGCAAACACGAAATAAATTATGTTATTAAACCGAGCCTTGGACCTTGGCCGCCAGTATCAAGGTACACCACACTCAAGTAACACTTACAAGGCTACAAATAGGACACACCCACAGCACTCATTCATACCTTTTGTCTGGTGGTTATCCTCCATTGTTGAACAGATGTGGTCACCCACTCAGCACGCTTCATATTTTAATTGAATGCAAGGAATCGGATACTCTTATGCAAAAACAGTTTCCGCTTCCTTACCGACATCAAATGCGACTGCATCCGTCACTGTTCATAGATAGAGAGGCACTTTTTAAGTACAAGTCATTGCTCGCACTTTTAAGAGATATAAATCATTTTCACATCATCTTTCCAGGCAATTGGTAGCATGATCTCAGAGTGGAGGTTGCTGCTGCAGTAACTACATCAAAAAAGCACCTGCTGCCTGGCAGCCCTTGGACATGAGGGTGTTGATAAGGCAGTTGTGCTGTTATCCTTCTATGCTTTTATTACTACGATCACTTGTCATTCATTCTCACTTTAAGCATCACGTCATTCTCATGAGTTTAGTATCTGTGTTTTGCCCGCGCCGAATTTTAGGCCACTATACAGTCATGTAACATTATCATAGCCCACATCCCTACATACCTTTGTAATACACCAACAATCGTTACACTTTCATAATTTTATATGGCGCTTTTTGGCCAAATATGGCCCTTGCGCCAATAAAACAAACATAATAGTAAGCATAATCATCGCCATGTTAACTAGCGTCTCGTAACCATATGGTCGTTTTGGGACATGGGCCCCACAGTACGGGATACGTCATATACTTTGATGCATCGAATATAGCTATTTCGAATTATTGCCTATATCGAATTCTTTCTATATACCTTGAAAAATCACTTGCATTTTTCATCTTTTGTTTCAAACGGTGTCAGATTCAAATTGAATGTGGAAGTCTACCACCCTGAAGCACATGAGCTCAGGCATGGGGATTTTTCATAACCATGCCTGCTCAGGTGACAGAATTTTTGAAACGCTCTCATAGATAGCTAAGGCACTGTGGGCATTCCCTGCTGCTGCACACTAGGTTGCCCGCCTTCATCGATTGCGCCAAAGGCCCTATCTGAGCGCTATAAGTGTATATACATCCAAGCGACTTGGCTAGTTCGACCGCACATTGCATTTGACGCACTTACTTCTAGGTGTTTCTGCTTGTAAGAAACATGCGAGCACATGAGGACTTAGCCCATTCTGCCGTGTAAGATAGTGTGATTACAAGAATCTATGAACAGTTGAAGCTTATTTCTTATTGATTCTCTTTCTGTCTTGTGACACTTCCTTCCTTGAACAGCACGACGAATTTTTGCCTGCTGATTGTTTCTTGTATTGAAAGTTATAGACGTTTGTATTGCACACCTTTCCAAGCTTTTTTTTGTGCGTGTGTGTGTGTGTGGCACCAATCCTAACGTTTCACATTTCTGCAGTCAGCGAAGGCAGTTATCACAGATATACAACCACCTGCTTCGCTCAGATTTTTTAATGCGTGAACGTTGTTAAACTGTGGTTAAGTGCGCAGTTGCCAATAAGAATTGAGCTAAGTTTGCGCCCTCTTTATCATGAATGACTGGTGCTCAAGTGGGACTCATTTTTAATGTGGTGTTAGATATCAAATTCTGGCCATATTAAACTGTTTTGCTATTCCCACACATTTCAATATATGGGGGTTCAACTATAGTAGGGTCTCTAATTTTTTGCTTCAGTTCAATAATACTCTTTTCTGTATGTTGGACAAGTTTTAATAAAATTGGGGTCAACCAAATTTCTTCCCCGAAGTTTGCCGTCACCTAAACAATAAAAGCAAATGCCAGTATTGTATAACTAATGAACTCTGCCTTCCTTTTCTAAAAAGTGGTTATGATATGTGACGTGTATAGACACGTACTATTACATGCCTCCTTTTTTGATAACGTTTGATTAAAAACTGGCATTTATAATTGGCACACAATGGCTATGAGTTAACGTCAAATTTTTTTGCAGTTATGTTTGCATGAATACAATAATGGCAGTATTACCCTCAAAAGTAAAAGTTCTGGCGGCAGTTTCAATTTCGGGTGGTAGCTTTCATGTTAAAAAGATGTTTGCTAAACAATATTAAGTTCAAAGTAAGGCGGTTTATTAGTCTAGTTGACAGTATCCCATTAATTTAGTTCCAAGGATGTGACATGGCAGCTACAGGTGGGGACAATGGACCAATGGGTCTAGGCTCAACATACCGTAAAAACCGGACTATAGGTCGGACCGCAATATAGGACGACCCCCCAAAACTTCGAATCGTAAAAAAAGAAATTTAAAAAAATCGCAAAGTATCGCGGCACACCCTTACCTTGATAAAAACGCAACGCAACTAGCTGCACTGTGGTAACATTCATTTTTATTTAGACACTGTTCAATGCTAGGAGGTCACGAAGTTACTCGGACTCATCCGAACTCGAGTCGGATGATGTTTGTTTTTCACTAGCGATGTCCCAGAGTGCATCGTCCTCTGTGCCGTCTAACGCGTTGCTGATGCAGCATTTGCGGAAGGATTTGCGAACCATCTCTTCCGGGAGGGATTTCCAGGCTGACGACACCCAGCCACAAACGGTTGCGAGCGGTGGACGCCGTAGGCGGCCAGCGGGGGTCTTGGGATTGTCTCCCAGCATCCACTCACTGTAGAGCTCGCGCACGCGACCTTTAAACGGCTTGTTCAGCACAACGTCCAGTGGCTGGAGTATAGATGTCAGTCCCCCGGGGATGACAACAAGATCCGTCTTGCCATCGGACAGCGATCGCTTCACATCGGCCGTGAGGTGACCGCGATAAGAGTCGAGCACCAGCATGCTCGGTCGTTGAAAAAGGGCACCGGGTCGCCGGTTCCACACGAGCCGGATCCATTCAAGCATGAGGGATTCGTTCATGAACCCCTTCTCGCTTGCCCTCACGATCACATCCCGAGGGAAGTCCTCCTTCGGTAGCGTTTTCCTTTTAAAAATAATATAAGGAGGCAGCTTCTTTCCGTCTGCTGTACACGCGAGCATCACGGTAAACCGCGAATGCTCGTTGCCCGTTGTCAATAGCTTCACTTGCTTCGCTGCTTTCTCGGTCACAGTCGTGTTCGATGGCATATCGAACCAGACCGGAGTTTCGTCAGCGTTGCCCATGTGGCCCATCATGTAGCAACGCTGTCGACGAAGCTCGATGACGAAGCGCTGATACTCCACAAGCTTGTGCTCGAACTCTGCGGGTAGTTTTTGGCACACTGAAGTACGCCGCCGCAGAACAAGGCCCTTCCGCTTCATGAATCGGCGCACCCACGATGGCGAGCCCTTGAATTGCGCCCTCGTGAGCCCCGAGTCGCGCGCAATCTCGAGCGCTTTCACGCGGATGCACTCCGTTGTCACGGGTAGCGACCTTGCGCGCAGCTCCCGTACGAACTCGACGAGTGCCGTTTCCAGTTCGGGGTGAACTGCAGTCCGTCCACGAAACGACGTTTTCTTCTGGTTGCTGCAACTTATGATGCGCTGTTTCTGGCTCCTCCAGTATCGGATGCTCTTCTCCGTCGGGCCGAATTCTCGTTGTGCCGCCAGGTTGCCGTGGGCTTCCGCATATTCGATGACTTTTTTCTTGAAGCACATCGTGAACTGACGTCGGCTGCCACTCATATTGAAGGAGATAGCCTCAGATGGGGATAATGAAACAGCGCAAAACCACCGCAGCCACCCTTGCTTCGCAATCGGGACAAACAAAACGCAAAATGGGCGTCGCGGCCGCCCAACGATGCTGTTGCTGATGCTCACGATGGCAATGGAGCCTACCGACTTTTGTCAACCCATTGTTGCAAGACTTCCATAAGTTTTCTGCCAATGACCGGTATATAAGACGGGGGTCGACTTTTCATCGCGTCTCTTTGAAAAAAAATTCGACCTATATTCCGGTTTTTACGGTATACAATCATGTATTTTTGCATAGAATTGTAAGATAGGTACAGTTATCACAATACACAAATAATGGCACAAATTTTGGCAGTTCTCTGTGCCAATATGAGGGAAAAATTTGAAAATTGTTCTCCTTGGGAATCGTCACCATTTCAGTTGATATGTGTGAAACAGTTAGACTTAATATTGTGCAATCTTTCTGGTGACAGCCTAGCTATTTTTTAACTTGTTACCAAATTTAGGTCTACACAAAATCCGCTAAATTTATTAAAAGTAAACTGAAGCAGTAAGTTTTTAGTGACCAAATTGAACAGTGACAATTGACCTATGAATGCATATTGCCATGATTAAGAGAGGTAAGAAATCTTTAATAATAATGAAGTAATTTATTTGTCTGCAAGTGCTGATGTAGTTTTGCTTCACACGCAGGAATCGCCAATGCCTTAGATCTCACGGATCGTGTGCTGCCCCACTTGCAAGCATATGGTTGCAGACCAACACTGCTTCATTTTGCACCATATTCAAAAGATGAAATAGTAGCGATACTCATGGACCGTCTTAATGAGGTATGAAATTTTTGTTGATCTCATTCTGATGTGTTTGAAATCTTTAAAATAGGATAACTGCAAAAGAGAGTTCTTTCTGAAGTTCTTTCATTTTCGTCCGGATATGCAACTCGACAATGGCATGAGCGCACAATAACACCCTATGCAACCCGTAACAACTGCTTTAAATATTCATTCTTTCCACAAACTATAAATGACTGGAACAAACTAACCGACACCAAAGTTTTACAGCCATCCTTAACATTTTCTTCTAGCCTCAATAGTAGTGTTTAAAATAGCATGCCATTTAAGCTCTGTCCCCATAAACGTTCGTATTTTTGTATATTCCGAGTTACAGTCAAACCTCAATATATCGAACACGGATATATCGAATTATTGCCTATATCGAACGGTTCCTATATCATGCGGAAAATCGCATGCATTATTGATTTTTTATTTCGAACAAAGTTTGACATATAATTGATATATCGAACTCAGCCACCCCAAACCGCCCGCGCTCCATTGACAGGCGGCGAGCTTTCCCGCAACTCTCGAAAGTAGCGGTAGAGCGGCGGGCGTTTACGAATGCTGCACCAACGCCTCCTCTAAACAATGCCTGGGAAATGGCTCGCGCTTCCAGCGGAGTTGGCCTGCCTTCAGTTTTGAGCAAGCGCCGCGCAGTGGCGCTCGCGACCGAGACTATTATCACGGCGACGGGCGGTACCAGCTAAGCGTTTTTCATCTGCGGCCCATAGGGGCGCGTCAGTCGAGAGTTGTTCGAGACCTGCAACTGTACACCGCTATTTCGGAGGCTATGCAATGTGTTGCGTTGTTGCACCGTCCGCCACAGGTGACGCTGGCGACCGAGAACATTCTAAAATAAAGGAGAGAAAGGGCGTGGCAGCCGTTTTTCTTCTCATGCGGCAGGCATCTTCTAGAGGAGGCGTTGGCTGCACACATCGATGGCGCCGAGAGCGCCACTTTAACGTAACGGCGTAGGCGCGCCGCAGCCTTGCGGTAGAGGTTCTTGCGGTAGAGGTAGAGGAAAGTGAAGAGAAAAGCGCGGAGCTGTTATTTTCTTTCAATACGAAGGCACCGACACGGCTTCGCGCGGAAGAAAGGGGAGTTGTAGGTAAAGATTGAGGAGGAAAGTATAGGAGGGAAAGGACGCAGACGACTGTCTCGGACACGGCCCGCGCTGCCGCCGGGAAAGGGAAAGCAGTCAGGCGAGAAACTGGTAGGCGTTCTGTGGGCGAGCTGGCATGGGCGCGCCATGTGCACGCTTTACACCCGGACCCACGCTGCAGCCTTGCAGCTTGCAGTCGTTGCAGTCTCTATGGTGTCAACGGCACACTGCGCACTTGTTGCAAGCTCCTCCCCCGTAGCATTGACAGGCATCGGTCGTTGTGCTCGCAGTGTTCGTGCGTTCGGAGTTAGGCCTGTCGCGCGCTGTGGTGCGCGACAGGCCTAACTTCGAACGGCGGAGCTCATAGATGCGGAGATTGTCGCCAAAGCTACTGCTGAGCAGCCAAATGAAGATTCTGCCGAGGTGGATCCCACAAGTGCTGATTGTGCCCCGCTCCCGACATCAGCTGAGGTCGTAGCTGCCTTGGCCCTTGTGCGCCGCCACTGTGGCGCGATTGAAGGCACCGGCCTATCACTTATGGATCGCCTGGACTATATTGAGGACGCAGTCGTCAAACGCGCCATGGCCAACAAAAAGCAGGCTACTCTTTTTCAATACTTTAAACCAACACAATAAATACTATGTTTGAATCTTCAAGTGAGTATTTACTGCACCACGCTTGAACGGTTCGTTGGTCGTTTTCAGCAAGCTGTTGACGCATTTTTTTCGTGATTTTTTTATATCGAATTCTGGATATATCGAACTATTTCGCGATCGCCGCGCCGTTCGATATATCGAGGTTCAACTGTACTTCGTTCGCAATTTTGTTTCTGTGTGTTTTTATCTTCCTGTTTTGAAAATTTGTTCGTCTGCATATTGAGAATTTATGTAATTCATGTAACCCACTCTGTGAAAATCCCTAGTAGGGATTGCAGTATTCATTAATAAAAAATAAATAATCTGTTAGTACAATGCATTTGTTTGTACGCCAACTTATGCTGCGGTTTCTCTTTTACGAATTGGCACATTGTTCACACTTTTACTTCAGGCCTACCCATGGCTTTGGCTAAGTAACGATGGACCTAAAGAAAGCGCTGGGGCCTTCGAATTCGATAGAGCGTGTACTCAGGCCTACATGACTAATTTGAGCATGATATTACAGTAGCAGCTAGTAGGGATGTATAAAAATACTCCCCAATGCCCTCATGGCTTGGCAATGCGAACACAGGTATGTGCATAGTCTAAGGAATCAAGCGAAGTTAAAAAGATAACGATAATAATGGAATGATCCCACCTCGGAGCACTGAGAGTGCGGGATGACCACCTCTCAGCTCGAGATTCAGGAACGTCTGATCTCCTGGGCTTCATCTTCCAAACACGTTCAGCAATTGGTCACTAGTTAGCTCTTTGGTCACTAGATTGACATCATGAAAAGGGCTTAAGTGTCCTCGAGATTTTTAAATGTTGCAATAAAGGTCGCAAGCACCAAATGTGCAAAAACACTTTATTTTGGTTTCAATCATTCAAATTTTGCAACGAAATGTTAATATCTAAATGAATGATTCGCCATAGTTTTAAAATCCAGCTCCTTGAACGGTTGGTTCTAAAATGAGTGAAATATAACAATTACCGTCCACCTAAAGTGCATTATTGTATAATAGTGCCGCCACCCAGTCCTCCCCCCTCCTTCCCTTTTGAATTTGAATTGAATTGAATTTTATTGGTCACACTTTTTACAAAAAATTTGCATACACTGCGTGGACCCATAGCCATAGGCTAGTTTGGGTCCAAAAAAGATAGATTTTATAAAGGCACTTTGGAAAAGTGTAACTAAGAAAGTTATACAATATCAATAAAGAAACATTACAGTGCATGAAATAACCACACTAAACCGTTACATGCACGAGAGAACGAAAACGGAATAAACACCTACTTACATATTGAATCAAGACAGTCATCAGACTAATTCTGACAGGACATTAATAAATCAGTACATTCTTCTAAATAGTTTTTTTCTAGTGCCTTAGTGAAATTGGAACACATTTTTATTTCAAAAGAAATAACATTCCAGATTTTAATACCAACAAACTGTAAAAGCCGTTCATCATATATGTTGTTAGTTCGTGGAATATTCCATTTACCAAAGTTTAGTTGCCTAGTTGAACGAGAAGGGGCGGAAAACATCGACACATGAAAAGGGTGGTTGTAATTAATAACTGTGTGTACGCATCTGGCTAGTTTTAATTTCCATAGCTTGTCGAAGGGCAAAATAAGTAATCTGGAAAACAAAGGTTTGCTGGGGTCGTTATACTTGGAATGAGTAATGATTCTTACAGCCCGTTTTTGAAGTCGTCTAACCGGGTCCAGGTAAGTTGTGTACGTGCCGCCCCAAGACTCAATGCAATATGAGATATGACAATGAATGAAAGCATAATGAAGCATTCGTAGAGTAGTGGTATTAAAATATTGACGAACCTGAGTAAGTGCATGACACCCTGAGGCCAATTTGGAACACACATTTTGAAACTGCATCTGCCAATGTAAGTTGTTATCTATAGTGACACCCAGATATTTAATTGTGGTTACTTGCTCGATCACGGAATTGTCAATCTTTATGTGTATGTTATTAGCATTAAGAATCTTAACCGAGGGCGAAATGTGATGCATTTAGGTTTATCGGTATTTTTAGATAGTTTATTATTCGATAACCAATGAGCGACCTTTTCCAGTTCCATATTGGACTTCTATTCAAGATCAGTTAGATTTTTACCTGTTACTATGACACAAGTATCGTCAGCATACATCAGTATGTTAGAAGGCTGTAATATCTGCGGAAGGTCATTAATATACAAGGAGAAGAGCAATGGTCCCAGCACCGAGCCCTGGTGAACACCAGTACTCAAGTGGCTCATAGAAGACATGAAATCATTAATTACTACAGCCTGTTGACGATCTTTCAGGTAATCTGAAAGAAGTTGAAATATGGTCCCACGGAAACCATAATGTGGTAATTTACTTCGCAGTATTCTGTGATCTACGGTGTCAAAGGCTTTTTTGAGGTCCAGAAAGATAACTGTTACTAATTTATTTTCATTCAATGTAGTGTTTATTGCTTGAGTAAAGGTCATAACGGCGCTGACTAACATTTTCACACATGGATGCACATATATACCCTCTAAAGTTTACGGAGGGATCGTAGCTCAGTGATATAGCATCTGATGTTATTCAAAAGTTGCAGGTTCAGTTCCTGCGAGCGGCAATTGCTTTTTGTCTACTTTTGTTTCTTTGTATTTACATTAACATTACTTCTAATAACATGCTCTGTACTTATCTTGGCATTACTGTCTGTTTTCATTAATATTGTGTCTAACAAGGAAAATGAGCCCTTAAATTTGCATTTCTTTTCTGGTATGTCTTGGAGGGGTTCTGTTCTCAAATGTGCTGTTTGCAAGTGCAAATATTTTTCAAATACATGGTTTATGAATATTTAGAAATGTGAACTGCACTGAAATAAAAAAAGTGGTGCCAAGGTTGAATATATTTTCTTTCCTTGGGCATAGCATAGGCATAAAATATGGGTTTGCATTGTGCAGCAGACTACTTCACTCAAGAGCCAGTTAGCTTCTCTGCAAGTTTGTGTGCACTAAAGATCTACTTAGTTCTTTCAATGTCCCAATTTTTATTCTAGTCCTGAAATGATGAATTTTGAGTTTCAGATGTTGTTTTATTTGTGTGGTAAGGACTCTAATGTATTGTAAAGTATTTGATTCAGTCTCAGAAATCACTATGTGATACAAAGTAAATGCTTTTTTTTTTTATTGACGGCAACCCTAATCCTTGACTTGAGTGTCTGGTAGTGGCCTTCAGTGTTCGTGTGCAATCTTTGGATTCACATTGTGTTTCGTCACACTGCCGACGCAGATCTGAGGCCATGTTGAAGGGAGTGCTTGGGAGAGAAGCAAGAGTGTCACTTGGCTGCAGGTGCCACGAAAAATAGAAAGCCTTATTTCATAATAATTGCACCCAGTATTGAATACTGCATTCATGCTAGCAGTGAGTTGCTCCATGTCCTGGTCCTCTTGCTTCTAATGCAAACTCTTCTTGCTCTGTTTTCATTTTTGCTGTTTTCATTTTTCATTTTTTGTATGGCACAACTGTAACGAAAGGGGATTAATTCAAAATTTTAAAGCAGTCACCCTTATTTCTCTATTACTATTTCAGTGTCATGCAGTAATACAACCTCAAGCCATTCAGTTCTGTGCACGGAAAATCGCTGCTTGCACAGGAGATGTTCGGAAGGCACTGGATGTATGCAGGTATTGCCCCATTTTCTTTCTGAATCTGTCTGAGGTGCCTTCATTTCAGTAGGCAGTTTTGACTTGTGACATAAAATATTGTTTCATATGGGTGATGATAGTGCCATTAATAATTCAGGTTGAAATGAAATTAAAGTTGAGAAGCTAGAACTTCTACATGTGTTCGTGTGTTGCTGATGTTTTAAATAGAACACGAGTGCCGAATAATTGTTTTGTATGCATCTTTTTTTGTTCCAGGCGAGCTGTTGAAGTTGTAGAACGTTCCACCAAGACTCAACAAGTTCTAGTTACACGACCTGAACATGGTATGTATAAAGCAGCGCAAAATTCAAACTACTTGATAAAAACATACCCAGTACAGCTTAGCTTGGGATGGTTCATGAAAATCGGTTTAGGTAAATGGAGTGTTTTTATTCCTAATTCATGCTAGTAACTTGTTAAAATGTCCTGTGTGCTTTGTAGGGTAGCAGTAATGCTTTACTTGAGCATGCACGTTTGCCCTTGCAGTGCATCAAGATAGGATTTCATCGGCTCGACCTGTCCAATAGGCCTTACTTTTATATGCATTACAAGCATTTTCCTACAGCATATCTAGCGAGACAATTAACATTTATTTAGAAATTGTTCGGTTAGTGGTGGAGTCTTTCAGTGCAGGGCCTCGCTGGCCTCTCCTTTTTACTCCCTCAGACTAGAAACAAAACTGTGTCTCCCATCTGTCTGGGTTTTTGATATTTGTGTTGCCCATAGTAGTGTCTGTAGCTGTCGTTCATGTTCATCTCCACGTAGTATGGTAGAGGGATGGCTCCCCTCTGAACCACAGGCATGACTCGAAACCTGCGCACAACGGTGGCCAGCATTGCCAGTTACCCTATGTAAGATAATATGCCACACGCAGGTCGTAATAAAAAACATGCTTCGGTTGGTTGAGACACACTTGCAAATCTAAGAACTAGGAGTGAGTGTGTGAATATCAAATTTTTTTGAATACAAATCGAATACGCATACATAGCTTTGAATACAAATCGAATATAGAATAATCAATTCGTGCAATTATTTTCACCAGTAATCTTGTGCTTCACCATATATGTATTTACACTCAAACCTTCATATAACGAAATATCAGTTATAATGAAGTAAATGAACAATAGTCTTGCTATAGACGTAGTGTTAAGAATATACCTATAAAATATTTTCTCATATAAGGAACCTAATTTCGTGCAACATGCAACTTTGGTAAAATTAAGTTTGAGTGTATGTTGAAACCAGTGCATTTTGTTCGCTATTCTAGTCTGTTATTGTACAAAATCAATGCCACCATCTGTAGTTGCCAGCAAGCATATCACTGCGATGTCTTGGGTTCAGTTGACATATTGAACAAACTTTCGGTTTTATGTGTTAGTATTTTAACAAGGAAAAAAAAAGCTTTTGTACCTGCCGTGACTTCTAGTGAATTCAAGGCTGCTGGTTTAATTCCTGCCATGGCCGCTGCATTCCGAAGAGTTGAAATGTAACCATTAATGCCCGTGTACTTAAATCTGTGCCATTATTAAAACACTTTTAGGTGGTCGCAATTTATCCAGGTTCCCTCACTATCAGGTTTGGCACGTACAATTCCAGATTTCATCGTTTTCCTCCTAATTGTCACCCCTGTTCTCACCGGTCGGGCCACTAAGGCAAACAGGAGTAGTTTGGGCATCATTCAACTACACAGCAATACTCGTTACCTGGCTAGCTTGCGTTTCCTTCCTCGAAAGCTGCACCCTCGCCGTTTGTATATTAAGAGTTCTCTGTCACGCTGATAGCCACATGATCGTTCCCGAGGGGCACCAGGCGTGTGTTAATAATGCAAAGAAGGCACGCGGGATAGATTAAATACCGTTTTTGTCCTCTAAGACCAAATGTCGGCCGTCCAGCGGGCCGAGGAAGCCACCAGGGTTCAAGGACTCCTGGCCGTAACCTAGGCTGGGCCATTAGCTCACCCTATCTACTCGCCGGACTCTGAATAAAGTTCTTTCCTCCTCCTCGATCGACATTTTGCAGAACAGTGATTCCGAAACGGACACCGTTCCAAGCAGCACAGTAGAGGTGCCCGAGGATGCACGCTTCAGCCATGTTCGCTGGTGTGTCTCAGTTAGCTACATAGGTGTGTTTTGTCGTGCAAAGCATTCAGGTATACGCTGGGAGGTCAATGGAGTATAGCTATCGCGAATGAGCCTCAGCGGAGAAATTGTGCTTGCCAGGTTGTTTTTTGCGCCTCCAGATGGCCCCACCTATCCAGCCTCTCGTGGTTAACACAGTATTACCACTTTTGCGTGGACGCAAAGTCTACAGATGAACTAAAATTCAACTATACCTGCATGTTTCTTGTAAGCGATGATATCTGACTATGAGCTGTTCCACTCTTGATAGCTTGTGATCGTGTTGATGTGTAACACATACGGGATATGAAAAGACACCCTCATTGCGCTTTTCCCGTGCTTTGAACTAGACGACTGCAACTTACGATTCCCCGACATGCCGGCCAACAAGCACACGTTTAATCATGCTTTTTTCTTCCGCCGTTCTTTTAAAGGTGGTTTTTATCGTGATAATTTCACGAAACCATTCAGACGCGACGAGCGAGTGCGCTTCGGCGCTAGTCGGCGTCACGATAAGAACATTCGGATTGTACACGTCATCGCTACTAGGGCATCGTCACTCGGGATGGTACTTGTGGAATGTATCACACCGAACATGTAGCACTAGTGTTGATGTCGCAGGGCAGTCTATTTTCCGTTTTTTCTCCTTAGCTTTTCTTCGCTGTTTGACATCAAATTAAATTGACTTCCACGCGACGGATGCCATTCAAATTTGGCCAAGACGACCTATGCATACACAGTGATCGAATGATGGGCACATCTCGATCTTGAAATTTGATGTCAGTGCTCCTTTAACATGTTTATAGCTCGTAGATTTGTCGCAATGATGTGCTGGCGCATTTGTCGGTATCAATTATCGCGCTTCGGTGTATTTCAGCGAGAGGCAAAGCCCAAAGCTTTAGCCTTAAACAGTACATAAACAAGTGCTAAGTGTAATTGTGAATGCACAAGCTATCTATCTGCTGCCTTTATTTGTGGAGCAGAATTGAGAATACCCAAATGGTGCGCTCACATGATAAACCCAACTCCCCAGCACAATCACTCCCTTATCTAGTGCTTGGGCATGAGAGTAAATGAGAGGGAAGATGCCCTAGTCTGATCGCTTACAAATAGAGCTGCAGCACTGAGTTTTCATGGCTCTGACTAGTAAGTTGCCCTGTAAATCTGAATCATGTGATACCACGACTGCGAGGGATCTCCTCATCTACCAGCATTAGAGCAAGCTTACATACCTGCCTTCATATAATAACTTAAATTAGAGGATGCACGAACTGGCAAATACTACAGACAGGGTCCTCCCAGGCTTACGTCGAATCTAGAAGCTTTACTCAGATGCACACCATTCTTGTAGGAAGACTGTAAATGGGCAGTTCGTTATTTTGCTTCAAGTAAGAGGCTTGGACAAGTTCATTTAGTCTTTTTTCTTGCCATGGCGCCAAAGTTGGCAAAGTTTTAGTTTCTATTTGAACCAGCACATACTTAAAGTGTTACTGCACATTGTCGCAGGTTATAATCCAGGCTCTCCGAAGAAGGCATCTCTCAAAGTCGTCAACGTGGCCCACATCTCTTCTGTCCTGGCAGATGTGTTTGGGTCTTCGGCAATGGGCAGCAAGGACCTCAATGCTACATTGCCCTTGCAGCAAAAGCTTTTGCTATGCACACTAGTGGCACTGCTCAAAGTCAAGAAATTGCGAGATGTGCTTCTTGGAAAGGTAAATGCATTAATGAGATTTTTGTAACTTTGTAGACGCTAATACAGTGCAGTTGAATGTTTGAAAGGTGAATGCATTAATGAGATTTTAGTAACTTTGTAGACGCTAATACAGTACAGCTGAATGTTTTCATAAGAGACTGATGTAACAGACAAATTGGTGTAAAAGAGACAAGTGTGCCTACATTGAAATAGGTGTTGATAAGCAGGGCACTGCATACATGGTGTCCTGCTTATAAGAGGCACCTCATAATAAAAAACAAGAATTTCTCCCCGGTGTACGTATTGTCTGTTGTAAAGGAGTTCAACTTTGGCACTGAAATATATTATACCACTGCTTTCCAAAGTATGTGCAATGAGAGGCACAGTATGAGAGATATCGGATGGCAGAACCAATGTCTGTACACACCTTTTCACTGGAGCACTTTTGAGCCAGTAAGCTGGGAGAGCCTAGGGTATGTTGTCAGTGTTTCCAACGTGCTTTGGGCTGCATGTGCCATAGATGTACGCTTGGTACACTTGGTGTAGTACAGTTGAATCCCGCAACAACAAAATTGACGGTGCGGGCGAAAAAATTCGTTGTTACGTTTTGATGGGGAAAAAAACACATGCGAGTCACACGGACTCACCAACGCAAAAAAAATAAATAAAAACAAGCTTTAATGCCAAAAAATCGGTCAGTTTCAGCTGTTTTTGCTTCTTTCCAAGCGATAGTACAACATGAGTTTTCATGCCGCCAACAGAGCCATCGCTTTCCAAGCGATAGTACAATAAGACTTTCCATGCCACCAACAGAGCCATCGCTTCGTCGTCATCCTTTGCCCCGATGCAACGTCTGATGACGTCAAATGCGTCCAGCACATGTGAAGTCAGAAGCAGCGCAGAATTACGTTGCGCGAATGCATCATCTTCGTCCGACGAAACACCATCTTCCTGTACGCTCTTTATGATGTCTTGGTCTGTTAATTGCTCTCGCACCACCAAGCAGGAAGCGGCTTGCATGAGCTCACTGAGATGGACGTTGGCCAGCACATCACTTTCCTGCTGGTCTGCCCATGCGAATGTGACTTCGTCGTCCATTAATTCATTCTCATCGTGACCTGCGTCGTCATCACGAGCGTCTACCTGCACTGCAAATCGAATCCAGCATGGCGAAAGCAGTTCGCGACAATGGCACTTTTTGTCGCGCTCCACGAAGCAGCAATCATTTGGAGCACCATAAACATGACGATTTTTTATTTTCACGACCCAACTGGGTGTTTAAAAGCAGCCTTTGAATAAGGTGCTTACGATAGGCACATTTCACGCTTTGGATGACCCCTTGGTTGGGTGGTAGAATGATAGAAGTGCTTTTCGGTGGCGAAAATTTCAGCTCTACGTTCTCGAGCTCCGCGTCCTCAACGGCGTGTGCGAAGCAATTGCCCAAAAGCAGACAAACCTTTCATCCTTGCCGGCCTATGAAACGGATCAGATTCCCGGACTTAGTCTCCAAAAATAGCACGTGTCATTCACACGCGGCTGTTGGCCACGTACCTCACTGGAAGGCGCCGATTTCCCTTGAAGCAGTGTCGTTTTGCACTTTCGTCAATGACCAACAGCAGTCGTTAATCAGATTCGTCCATATTAGCACACAGTAGCACAGTTATTTTTTTGCTGTGTTTACCTCCTTGTCAGCGCTGCCCCTTAAAATCCAGAGCATTTGGCGGAAGCATATCGTAAAACAAATCAGTCTCATCGGCACTGTAGATATTCCATGGTGCATAATCTTTCAGGAGACTTCAGAGGCTGGCCAACATCCGCACGGCGGCGCCGTCTTTATCTGCCGAAGCGGCTTCACCACACAGCATTTTGTAGATGATACTGTGGCGAGACTTGAATCGGTTCAGCCAGCTCGCACTGGCTTTGAAATTGTCTATGCCGAGCATACAAGTAAACTCTAGTGCTTTCTGCTGCACAATAACACCGCTAAAGGCTATTTTCGTGGCTCGCGTCTCCATGAACCAGGTGTAGGCTGCCTTGTCCAACGCTTCGTGCACTGGCTAGGTCAACTTTTTATGCTTTGCCGAAGATCCTGCAGCTAGAGCTTTGTTTATAGCATCCTTGCTCTTCAATATAGAGGGTTTTGGTGTTTGTAAACAAACCGACTCGTGCCGAACAGCCTACCCCAGCAGACTTCTGGTACAACACTTCCGGCAAGGCTTTTTCAGTGGTTTTGGTGGTGTTTTCTTGGTGTGTTTGAGCTCATTTTTTATAATTTCTGGCACATTTCTTAGGATGTGTTTGGAGCAACGTCTAGCAGCTACATGAAGGGGCTGGCGACATGAAGGGGATGTTGACGATGCAGATGCACTTTGAAGACACTGACCGGGAATTAACAGCGCCCACCTGTCTTTTCCCTGTTTGCATCTTCAAAGCGCACCCACAATGTCGACATGCAGGAGAACAGTTGCTCTATTCATAGTGAAGTTGTTCAATTCAGGTTTTCGACTAGAACTGAAAACCTTCCTCCTGTTGAACGCCGAACATATTTGTGTTTTCGTCTAAGCACACAACCTCAGGGTGAAACGCTTATATCTGCGCCTGTGTCACACCGGGCACTTTCTAAAGAGATCAGCGGCAATAGGAATCGCTCGTGATTCGAAGTGTTCGTGTGACTGAGAAATTATAAAATGTACTGATAAGATATCACCTTCGGCTGCAGGGTCACACAAACTATTATGGTTTACTCATGAGTAAGCTATTCATGAATGAAACTTTCAAGTCGAACCTACCTAAACCTAAAGTCCATGTTCACACCCAAAAGATACATTAGCTAGAATACGGCGATGTTCATTAGCGACAGAAAGACAGCAGATGAGTTATTTTCTCGCACAAATGAGAGCCCACTGGCCGGCGTCGCTTTAAAAAAAAATGAAGTGCGACGACAACGAAACATAGTTTTTTAGGTCCTTGAAAAGTATTTGTTAGGTCTGTAAAAGTCCTTGAAAACCCTTGAATTTTGTTTCACTTAGGTGCTATGAACCCTGTACAGTCGAGCCCGCTTATAACGAACCTGAGCGTGATGTGGCATCCGTTCGCTGTATCCCGAAGTTCGTAGTAAATGAAACACAGCTTTTTAAAACGTTGCGAGTGAAAACGCAAACTTTTTTTGCCCCAAAAAGTCTGATGCACGTATTTCGAAGAGCAGAAGCGATAAGGGCGGTCTCGAGTTCATTTAAAACGGCAGGGTGCTCGTTCGCTCGTGGCATAAGCTGCATGAGGCACTGGCTCCAAAGTTTCGTCGTTCTCGCAATCCGATTCCTCCAAATCGCTCTCGTCACGTACTTCATTCACAATGCCCCAATCCGTGCACAGTTTTGCAGTGTCGGCCTTATCGTCGGCCGTAATTAAACCACTGAAACGGATGTCCCACCCGCTCTCCCAGGTCGGAGTCGACGACGCGCTGCCACAAATCGCCGCCGCAGTTCGGAAGCTTCAGGCTCGGCATCGGGCCCGACGTTGACGAAGTCGGCCTCGCGAAAACAGTTTCGCGCATGTAGCCGTCACCGCCGCCCACGAAATATTCACCATCTCCTCGCTCAGCTGGATACCGGGACGCCCGAAGCGGCAAGTTGGCTGCCAGGTGGTCAATAGCTATGAGGAACGCACAATAGCTATGAGGAACGCACCTAACGCACTGATTACGCTCAAGCCAAGTGGTCACACTTTCGACGTTTTGTTGAGCGGCAGGAAAAAGCGTGCTAGTCCTCCTGTCGGCCACTATGACCATACACGCACACCAAGAGCGAGCAAGACGCGCACACGCGACACACATGCCAGAACGCGTAGAACAGCTCTGGGCCCGTTTCCAGTCAGAATACGAAACTAATTCGAGCCAGTGTGGCGGGCGTCGCGGAGCGGTGGAGACGGGCGTAGGGGTTGTGATCAAAAAAAGAGAGCAGACTTGCGAGAGAAGTCCAAAGAGTTGCACTAAAGAGGGGGGGGGGGGTATGCGGCAGCAGGGCGACCTTGAAATCCAAACACGGAACGAGGCACGTTGGGTAGCTTGCTTGAAAAGTCCGCGAAACTCACACGTAAAAAAACTTGGAAAGAGTCCCTGGCGCGCAGAAGTCAAAGCATCGTCGCCTGGATTGGTGCGCGCGGCGGTGTTCGAAGAATCGGTGGCCGTGGTGAAAAATTGTTTTGTTGCGCCGGCGGGTTGGCGTGGCCTCACGAACTTCAATATTTCGCGATTCGTTACGCGCAAATTAACAGCCAATTTTGCAATTCCGCGCGCGCGGAAGGCATGCTGAGTTGAGGGCTAAGTGAGTGAGAACAAGTCCTAAACACGAAATAATCACAAATTATCAGAGTTGGTGGGGTAGCGTACGCGCGTACACTAGACGGCGAATATCGGATACAGTCGGTGGCCGCTGATGTTGGTAAATGGTCTTGTCACTCCGGGCTGGCGACGCCAACTACTGTACCAGCGATCAAAAACAGGGTAGATGGCCGACCGGTCTTCGAAAGATCAGTGGTAGTGTGAAAACACGGGCTTCGTCTGGTGATGCGGGTTGCTCAAAGTAGCGGAGGGACAAAGGACAGAGGGGTGCGTAACAAAAAGCTGTCGGGGCATGGAGGGTTGGGGAGAGCGGCAACTAGAGGGTCGCAGAGGCAGGGTCGGCGTTTAACAATAAGAATGTATGGGCACTTCGCCAATGCCTGATCGGTGGTCCAAATTGGTTTCCCGGGAAGTCGGCAGACCGCTGACTCCGTTCGCTGTAACCGATCAGCGGCGCTCGGAGACGTTCGTTGTGAGTGCGATTCTGTGACATTGAACCAATGTATATTTTGACGGTCACACGGATATTGTTCATTTTAAGTGGCGCCGTTATCTCTGGGCTCGACTGTATTCCATCACGTTGATCTGGTTGGTTGTGCAGTTTTGTGAGTGCACTGTTATGTTTCATGCGCAATTTGCAGGTTTTGACGGGCAGGCATAGTACTTTTCAAAATGACCGAATGCTGAGGGCAAAAAAATGAGAATGCGAAGTGACTCTACAACCTCATTGCAATGGAGGCATTTTTTTTTCTTGTTTGTTCACGTACGATGGTATGTAGGCCTGAAATGTGTGGCCATAGAAATGCTCAATCTCGTGAAGTATTTCTGGTATTTTCAGTTTTAGAACGCACATCTCATAGGCTACGCATTCTCTAGCCTATTCTTTTCAAAGGATCCTTTCTGCGGTCGATGTCCTCCCGAGGCATTTCACCATCTGCCACACGGTTCGCGCATTCACGTGCAAGGGTGTGAGCGCTGGCATAAGGATTAACTCTATCAATGTCCTCAACTTGCGCTGGAAACCAAAAGATATTGTGACCACCAACCGATCTCTCCTTTCTGCGACCACTCCAAATGAGACTGGCTGCCTGCTGCGGAACCAAACCTCCAGAGAAGGCCCGAACGGCCGACCTTGAATTTGAGTAAATCACAGAAGGCAACTCAGCTGCCTGAAGAGCTAAAGCAATGGAGACCTCCTCTGCAACTGTAACCTGATTTGTAAAGACTGGAGCCCGAGACCCCAGCTGCCCTTTACCGTCGACGACTGACACACCAAAGGCCCGCCGCATACTGTACTGCGCAGCGTCCACCAAAAACGCCAGGCCTGCCCGTTAGGCGCAGCACAGTCACAGCAAAAGCTAGACGAGCGGCCTATCAGAGCTTTTTTTAAACACTCATTGGGTAACTACTGCAAGCACACTTGCTTGATACCCACTACGACATTAATAATAAAAATTTTTTGGTAGTAGGCCAGCAGTCGCTGTGCTATTTTTCATTCTTCTGAGAAATGTGGTATCCGCTAAACACTTGCAAGGAATTTTGTGCCAATTGTTCATGCAGTGGCTGACGATGATGAGGAATTACGCCTGAAGAGGCAGCAGTGGACAACTGCGGTGGAATGTGACCCTGGTTATGATCTCATAACAGCTTTTGCTGAAAACGCTCTGCTTTAGTAGCACTACCTACTTTTCAAAAAATAGCCCAAGCTTGAGCCACACGGCGGCCTGCATGGTACACCGGATGAATGTTGCGCGGAACAGGATCCACCGTGATATCCTCCCGCTCCTCACGTGTGAGCTGAACTCCTTCAGACACCGCTACCCTCGGAGCCACAACGCCAGCCTCATCGAAGATCCTCGAGCCAGCCTTGGTGCTGGACAGACGTGCTACCTGTGCCGCAAAGTGTGCTTCAATCAGCTCGTCAACCGTGTTGTGCAAACGAAGCTCCATAAGCCGCTCAGTGCTAGTAGTCTGTGAAATTCTCAGAATCCTCTTGAGCCCGACCCTGATGAGCATATCAATCTTCTTCTTCTCTGTCCCAGTCCATTGCAAATATGGGACCGCATAATTTACATGACTAATGAAGAATGCGTCAAACACCCATAGGAGTAGATCTTTTTTCAAACCACCACGCTTGCTTGTAATCCGAGAGAACAGGCTCAAGATGTTGCTCGCCTGACCCCTCAGTCGCTCAATAGCGCCTCCGTTATAGCCTCGCGCATCAATCCACAGACCCAGGATCTTCATAGTCCACTCTCGGAACTACCGTCCCCTCTCAAGACCACAGCTTCACCGGAAGAGAGTCCAAAGGCTCGAGATTCTGCATGCCCTAGCGCGTCTTCCGAAAGAGTAAGAGCTTCGACGTTTTCGGAGAAAGCGTGCGGCCCGTACCCTCTAGAAAACACTCAGTCACGTTCAGCGCCTCTTGCAGGGACTCTTCAAGCGTGGCCAGAGAGCCACCCGTGCACCACACGGTACTATCGTCCGCATAAATAGCATGCCCAATGCCAGGCATTCCCGCTAGCAGTTTTGACAGCCTGTGCACAATTTTACACTCTATCTGTACGTCTGCTCAAGCTTGTTTCAAGCTGCAGTGGGCCGCTAGTAAAACTATGTGAGAGTGCATTTTCGAAATTTTATATAATTCTTTGTTGCTGAGATAGACAGCATTATCAACCTCTCTTGAAAGTCCTCTTGGCTGAACCTGAGCAGCAGAATTGTATTGTGAAGTGTGTGTATTGTGAAGTGTGCTGAGCAGCAGAATTGTATTGTGAAGTGTGCTGTAATTATTTTTCCCTCTTACTGCAGTCATTGTGAGCACAGTTCTGTATCACATTTAGCCTGCATTATATTTACCAAATACCATGCATTATATTTGTGCTGGGGAGGGGGTTTGTTCTATTATTAATTTAATAATTTTTCTACACTCCACGATTGCTAATGCAGCTTCAAGAAGCTTTCATGCGCATCTGCCAGAGACACCAGTGCTCTACTGACCATTCTGACTTCCAATCCCTGTGCACCCTGCTGGAGTCAAGGGGCCTGATTACTGTCAAGAGGCACAAGGAGCTCAGACTAAGCAAGGTATGTGTCATCGCCAGCTATCACGCTACTCTCTTTCCTTTGCTGACAGTTGACTGTCTGAAGATGTATAGCACTGTATGTGTGTGAGTGCATGTGTAATGACGACTTGTGCAAAAAATTTGAACATGGGTGGAAGTTATTTGTACGTCGTAATGTGCATTCAATTGCTTCATGCGAGTGGCTGTTACTTGATACTTTAGACAGTTTTGCAAACTAAGTTTTCAGTGGACATATATTTAACCTGAGTTGTACCTTAACCATTATCTCCCAACGTGCCGGGCAATACTGTTAGATCATAGCCTCCAATATCATTATAGTGCGCACTTGCTCTATTTCAACGTGTTAGAAGACTTATAAATACAGCCAACATACATTTTGCTATACCCTGCTGCTTTTAAGCTTGCAAAGGTACTAATGAACTTGGCCTGGTTAACTACAAGCTCGCATAACTGATGTGTGGTGGTCCCAATAACAGCTGTAGCAGTGTTCATTAAAACCTCGTTCATATTTTCCTGGTTCTTAAACACTGCCCGGCCGCCATGGTCTATTGGCTAAGGCACACTCGGCTGCTGACTCGCAGGTCGCCGGATCAAATCCCGGCTGCGGCGGCTGCATTTTCCATGGAAGCGAAAATGCTGTTGGCCCACGTGCTCACTTTTGGGTGCACGTTAAAGAACCCCAGGTGGTCGAAATTTCCGGAGCCCTTTGCTACGACGTCTCTCATAATCATATGGTGATTTTGGGACGATAAACCCAATGTATCAATCAATCATACACACTGAAATAAATGTTCTATGACTGGGTTTATTGACCCGTAGACCTAGCAAAAGTTGAGATGTCCAGAGTAGGGTGTCGAAGAGGGGTTGGCGTCAAGCAGCCTAAATCCATGCAGGCACTCGAGACCAGTGCTGCTACTGGCACTGAGGCTTGCTGGCTTGCTTGCGTGCTTTGTTGTCGTCCTCCTCTCTTCGCTACATTGCCTTGAGAAATATCGGAGCTATCGTGCCGACTTGAGGGGGAACACTAGTAAAAAAAATGTCAAAGTTATAACCTTATTATAACACAGTTGCATCATACATGAAGATAAGTTGCCTTGTCGTGGTGGTCTAGTGGCTAAGGGACTCGGCTGCTGGATCGAATCCCGGCAGCTGCATTTTTGATGCAGGGGAAAAGGCTGTAGGCCCGTGTGCTCAGATTTGAGTGCACATTAGAGAACCCCAGGCAGTCGACATTTCCGGAACCCTCCACTACAGTGTCTGTCATAATCATACGGTGGTTTTGGGATGTTAAACATCACATATCAATAAATCAATCATAAAAACAAGTTTGTTATATACGAAAATTCATTATATAGGTTTATTCCTTATGCAAGACTATTTTTCACTTAGTTATAACTGATATTTCGTTATATCAAAGTTTGAGTGTATTGTCGCTCGTTTCATCATGAAGTTTGTTAGGAGTGTCCGGTGAAAAAAAGCGGCTGCAGTGGTGCGAGAGCTACTTTGGCCCGAGAACAGTCGATAATGGCGCTATAACTCAATAGGCAGTCCCGCCCAAGAATAATGTTGTGGGAGCACAACGGTAGCACGAAGAGCTTGATCCTGCGAAGTGCGTCTTGGATGGTAATCCGTACAGTGCGCACAGCGGATGGCACAGTGCATTGTGAGCTGGCGGTGGCCTCCTTTTATGCACTAAAAAAATTCCTGGTTGAAAAACAATCTTGTTATTCTGAGGAGGCATAGGAGGTGTGAGAAAGTGTGCACATTTGCCCACAAGTGCCCCTGAACCCACTTTTTCTGTTTGGAATGGGTAACTACTCACTGTTTGAAGTGGCGAACTTAACTGCATTGTGCTGTTCTGTGGGTAGCAGAAAAAGTCTTTCCTGGCCTCAAAACCACTCGAGCTCACAGTAATGCAACAAGTTAGTCATATGGACTTTTGTTTTTTATAACTCTCGTTTTTGTTTGGCCTGTAGTGCTTTTCTGTGCCATCTTGAAAAGCCAGCAAACCCAGCCATGGAGCCCTTTGTGCATTGCAATGTAGAAGGCATAAGTTCTTTTCCTGACTGCACTCATAGAGTAATCCTTGAGCTGACTAGTCTCCACAGTACTGATGTGAAGGGCATGCACAAGTCAAAAGTTTTTCTGCAAGAAACTTTGCATGTAATGTTCAGTCATCATCAGCCTAACTACACCCACTGCAGGGCGAAGGCCTCTTCCATGTTCCACCAATCAACCAGTCCTGTGCTTTCTGCTGCCACGCCATACTTTCAAACTTCTTGATTTCATCTGCCCACCTAATTTTCTGTCTCCCTCTTAAGCATTTGTCTCTCTCTTGGAATCCAGTCACTTACCCCAGCGGTTACCCAGCCTACGTGCTATGTGTCCAGCCCATTTCTTCTCCTTGAGTTCAACTATGATGTCCTTCATTCCCATTTGTTCCTTGGCTCACTCTGCTGTCTTCCAGTCTCTTAAGGTAGCACCTATAATTTTCCTTCACATCGCTAGCTGCGTTATCCTCAATTTAAGTTAAACCCTCTTTATACCAAATCCTTATGTTAAGCTAAGCCTAAATGCTTGTATAGCTTGCGGCCAGCACAAGCTGTCACACGTGTGCATCACAGTAGATGCAGCATGTGATGGCGTCTGAATATGAAATTCAACGAAAGTTGTTTTCACTTTGTGCCAACCAGTGAGAATTTGTTTCGTTGAGTGTATATATGCATTTCTGTATGGTTAGAGGCACGAACGCAATATCTGATGTAACTTTCTCTCTCTCTCCACTGTACATTACAGTTTGTCATTTTCAGGCAATATTTACTTCTAATGCATTAAAGTGACTGCATTGCCAATTTTTCATCTGTGTTGCAGGTGAGCCTCAGGGTGGATGAGAAAGAAGTTGAGTACGTGCTTCAAGACAAAGCTCTTCTAGCAGCATGCCTCTATGACAGTGCCGTTCTATGAAGACTGTTAGCTGTTATCAGAACCATTGTGTGATTGTTTTACCTGTGTTTACCCTTGCATGTCTACTGTGCAAACATTGCACGTGTCTTTGCACGTGTCTTTTTATTGTAGCACCCTAGTCACAGCTGGAAAAAATTGTCATCGATTGCTGTTGTTTCTCACTCTCATGTTGGGATAGTTGTTCTTCAAGTACACAATCATTCATATTGTATCCTGTGGACTCATATTCACTTGAAATCGAAACAATAAAACTTTTCCTACCTATAGCTGTATGAAAAGTTGATTGCTCATTGTCATTATTTATTGTTGGTTATTAATTCAAATAAGCTAGATTTCAAAGCCAAGCACATACTCGGGCAAGTGCTGTCTATCACGTTTGTTTTTCAGTATCAGGAGATCGAATTACAGCTGTGGTTGCCACATTTCTATGAGGGTGAGATGCTTGAGTCCAGTGTACTTAAGATTGAGATGCTTGTTAAAGAATACCAGATGGTAAATATCGCTGGAGTCCTCCACTATGATGTCCCTCATAATCGTATTATAGTTTTATTGTAGTTCTGGGACATGTTACCTTTACGAGTGCTAACAGCTCTTAGCATTTATGGTTTACATGATGTGTTGTTAGAGAATATTGTCACGGCGTGAGAGTAAGTAGACAGAGGGTGGAAATATATTTACAGATTCTACACGGAGTACACAGTGTCCTTGAACCAAGATGGCTGAGTGGCAATCACAACACGAGCTTTTGTTCAATCGCCATCTTCGTCGCCTTTGTGGTGCATTCGTTGATGTTAATGATGACTTGTATCATATAGCCGCTGCCGGTGAAAGCGCGGTCTCCGCGTTTAAGAAAGCGTGCGATCCTGGGCAGAGAAGTACAGCTTAAGGCGGGAGACGTGTACAATATCAGTGGACGGCAGAGACGATGAGGATGGAGTGTCCAAGGGGGCAATCTCATGGGTGACCTCGGTCAGTTGGCGCAAGACTTTGTAAGGCCTGTTGTAGCGAGCGAGGAACTTCGAGGACAGGCAAAAGTGACGAGAGGGAGTCCAGAGCAAGACCAACAATCCTGGGGAGTAAGAGACAGCTCTATGAAGGCTGTTGTAGCGATCCTTTTGAGATAGCTGCGAGGCAGAAAGGTGATCCTGGGCAATCTGGCGGGTTGCTCGAGCCAGTGCAGTTGCATCGCGAGCGTACTCGGTAGGAGTGTCAGTATGCGACGGCAGAAAAGTGTCAAAAGGCAAAGTGGGGTGACGGCCGTACAAGAGATAGAAGGGAGAAAAGCCAGCGGTGTCGTGTTGTGACGAGTTGTAGGCAAAGTAGCATCCCAATCACGATCTGCGGAGACATACATGAATAGCATGGTCGTCAGTGTGCGGTTAAGGCGCTCAGTTAGTCCATTTGTTTGCGGGTGGTAGGCAGTGGTGAGTTTATGACGTGTGGAACACGAGGGAAGAATGTCGTCCACGACCTTGGAGAGAAATGAACGACCACGGTCGGTCAGCAGTTGACGCGGCGCTCCATGGTGGAGAATAATGTCATGAAGGAGAAAGTCCGCGACATCAGTAACACAGCTTGTTAGTAGCGCTCACGTGATGTCAAAGCGTGTCGCGTAGTCTGTTGTCACCACTACCCATTTATTCCCACTCAAAGACGTTGGAAATGGTCCAATGAGTTCGAGGCCGACGCGGTAGAACGGGTCTGCTGGAATGTCGATAGGCTGAAGTGGGCCAGGTGGCGCCAATGAACGATGCTTGTGGCGCTGGCAAGACACAAGATGCAACGTATCGGCGCACAGAGCGGTAAAGGCCGGGCCAGTAGAATCGACGCCATACGCGGTGATACGTGCGGGCTGCTCCGAAATGTCCAGCGGTTGGGGCATCATGAAGTTTGAGCACAGTGTAACGGAGCGTTGCAGGAACTACCAGCAGTTCTGGGCCTTCGGTGCTTGTGTTGCGCCAATAGAGAATTTCGTCATGAAGTGAGAACAGGCGAAGGGAAGGATCTGCGGTGTCAGAAGCTAGACGGCGTATGATAGACCGCAAATTGGCATCACAGAGTTGTTCTTTACGTATGTCCGTGAAATCAGAACTGGCGAAGACAGAGGCATCAGAATCGTGCGCTGACAGGTCAGGGGGATCAACGGGATGGCGAGATAGACAGTTGGCATCTCGGTGCATTCGGCCAGACCTGTAGGCCACAGCAAAGCTATAATCCTGTAGCTTTAAAGCCCAACGACCCAGGCGTCCAGAAGGATCTTTGAGGGGGGAGAACCAGCACAGGGCGTGGTGATCCGTGATGACCGAAAAGTGGCGGCTGAACAAGTATGGTCGGAATTTTCCAACTGCCCATACAAGAGCGAGGCACTCGCGCTCAGTGATAGAAAACTTGCACTCGGAGGGGGAGAGGAGGAGACTTGCGTAGGCGATTACACGATTTTGACCCTGTTGCTGCTGGGCAAGGACAGTGTCAGTACCGTGCCCGCTGACGTCGGTGCGAACTTCAGTGGGCGCTGAAGGATCGAAATGACTGAAGACGGGCGGGGAAGTGAGCAACGCAGTATGGTTGCGAAACGAATCGGCTTGCTGGGGACCCCAAGAAAACGGCGTGTTCTTCTTCAGTAGCTGTGTCAAAGGGTGGGCAATGTCGGCGACGTTTTGGACAAAACGCCAGAAATAGGAACAGAGACCGACAAAGCTCTGTACGTCTTTTGTGGAACGTAGTGTGGGAAAATGTGGGAAAATTTTTGACGGCGCGAATTTTGTCGGGATCGGGTTGCACGCCTTTAGCACTGACAAGATAGCCTAGCACAGTGATTGTTTGGTGGCCGGAACGGCATTTGGAGGAGTTGAGCTGCAGGCCTGCCCTTCTGAGAACTTCCAGAACAGCTGACAGACGGCTAAGGTGACTTTCTAATGACGGCGAGAATACAATGACGTCATCGAGATAACAGAGGCACGTTGACCATTTGTAACCCTGTAGAAGGGAGTCCATCATTCTCTCAAATGTAGCGGGAGCATTGCATAAGCCAAAGGGCATTACCTTAAACTGGAAAAGTCCATCCGGTGTAACAAATGCAGTCTTTTCACGGTCTAATTCGTCGACGAAAATCTGCCAGTATCCTGAACACAGACAGATAGAGGAGAAGTAGGCAGACCCGTGCACTGCAGTCGAGGGCATCGTCAATCCGTGGCAGTGGGTAGACGTCCTTGCGCGTGACCTTGTTTAACTGACGCTAGTCGACGCAGAAGCGCCAGCTGCCATCCTTCTTTTTTACTAGAACGACTGGTGAGGCCCATGGACTGCAAGATGGTTCAGTGACGTCTTTTGTGAGCATTTTATCAACTTCAAGTTGGATGACTTGACGCTCTGCATGTGACACACGATAAGGACGTCGTCGGATTGAGCTGGTGTCTCCAGTGTTGATCCTGTGAGTAACAACTGACGTCTGACCTAAAGGACTATCGCCAAAGTCGAAGATGTCCCTGAAGGATGCTAAGATATGCCGGAGATCAGCTGCCTGTGCTGGGACGAGGTCTGGCGCGATCATCTTGTCAACGTCGGCATTAGTGGAGCTCTGTGAAGAGGATGCAGTAGCGGGCAAAGGAGCGTCTGCAATGAATGCAGAAATATAATGTTCACCGATGGATGAGACGTTGGCTAGAGTCATGCCATCTGGAACAACTTGAGTGCACCAGCTGAAGTTCAGTATCGGTGGTGACGTCACATTATTCGTAATCGTCAACAGAGTATGAGCAAGGGCAACATTTCTGTCTAATAACACATCAAAAATCGGTGCCAGCACATAATCGCCGTCGGGTACTGGAGGAAAAGACCTCATGGTTACATAGGTAACGGCTTATGGCGCTAGGCGAACGTACTCAACAGAACACAAACGTGGTTGAGGTTTAGTTGGAGTGTCATAGCAATGAGGTAGGTCAAGCCAAAGTAAGCCCATTCCACAGTCAATTAAGGCAGAGTGCGCGGCAAGAAAGTCCATGCCCAGGATGAGTTCATAAGAGCACTTCTCGAGCACGGCGAAAAGCACAGTTGTGGAGTGGTCAACAACACTAACACGTGCGGAGCACATCCCAAGCACAGGAAAAGTTCCACCGTCGGCGACTTAGATGAGCGGCACTGTGGGCGGTGTTAAAACCTGTTTAAGGCGGCGGCAAAGCTCCGAGTTCATCACCGAAATGTAAGACCCTGTGTCTACAAGGCCAACAACAAGTGCATCGTCTACTTTAACGTCTATGAGGTTTCGTCGTGTCGGCATAGCCAGAGGATTTGTCTGGTGAATCGTCGATGCAGCATCACCTCTGGGAGCTGCATCGTCTAGTTTTTTGGAGCCAGATGTGCAGTCGGCGAAGGAGGACGGCGAAATTGGGGTGAGCGCGACGATGGACGACGAGACAGCGCTGAGCGGGACTGGTGGCCGGGAGGGGATGGTTACCGACAACGCACCGTCGACGAACCGTGACCACCGGCTGGCCGAGGCGACTCGTGCCAAGTTCCGAAGTGACCATCATCTGCCTCTGCGCGACGGTTGTAGCCATAGGAAGGCTCACGCCAATACCACCTGCTATTGCGATAGCGGGCCACGTGACCAACACGATGGCAGTTAAAGCATATGGGCCGCGGTCATCAGCAGTCCTCCATTCAGCTGGATTGCGAGCGCCCGCTGGGAGCCTCTGGCCTTGGGCGTAGGAAACTGGCGGACGACGGTCAGTCGGTTGGGAGGGGCGGCGGTGCACACAGATTCCAGTATGTTCGAAAGCTCCTGGTGAACGATGGCATGCACTAAAGGCACCATTTCGGAGCTGGACTCACAGGCACTAATATTGGCTCTGCATTTGAGTCAAAATTATGTCACTGTGACCCAAACTGAAGCCAGAAACAAAAGTATGTGCATTACTTGGCTGTAAATTATCCCGTTCGTCTGTGAGTACTGTACATACTGCTGCAATGGCCAAGAGTTTGGTGAAATCGAATACATAGTTTTTTAGCTTTATTCTCTTGTTTAGGTTCACAATATTCAAATAGGAGAATATGGAAGAGCCGTGTGGCCCCTTAAGAATAGTAACTGAGAAAATGATATGACCAACTTGGAGGGAAAAAAAGAGTGAAGCATCACTGCACATTTCGAGTTCGCGTAATAAGTGAAATCTCATGGACTGCTAGAAATCTGAGTGAGCGAACCTTCTTCATTGCTGTGCTCAAGAATGAATGCATTCATTGGTAGTGAAACCGACTAAGGGCAGAGTTGTTTGTTCCCCCAATAATTAATTTTCTTATCTGGTTTATTTTCTTGAGGTTAAATCGATAAAATGGTTACTTTAGGTATGAAAACTATGAGAAAAAAATGGCTGATTGGCACGGTGAGGCTTTATAGTTTCGGCATTATGACACACGTTACCTGAAGTTAGATGTGCTTCAAAGTACTTTTGTATTGAGAACATCTGCAGAAGTGCGTGGTCTATACAGCTGGTAACATACTAATTAAAGAGAACTTTGCTTCGGAGATTCTAGCCATTGTAATTATCAGGAGCTAAAATACCCTTCAAAAGCGTACCCAACCAGGCGGCCGTAAATGAAGGGGAGGAGAGAATTCAAACCCTTTTCACCTCTGAAACTTTTTATGCTTGTCAGAAGCTGTTACTCTTCACCCCCCCCCCCCCCCCCCCCAAAAAAAAAAAAAAACCTTCTGTGCTGAATGTTTACCATTGGCGAAGCTGAGTGTCTCTTCACAAATGCACAAAATGCGACTTTCTCGACAGTATGAGGTCTCAAAAATATTTTAAGTCTGACTTAGTCGAATGACACATGCATGGTGTACATGACCTACACTGTGGCGTACAAATAGCAACCATTAGGGGGCATTTCACTGATATTGTCAATGGGCGGGACAAGGACATGCGACTTATCTGTATGTACTTGTGCGTATATATATATATATATATATATATATATATATATATATATATATATATATATATATATATATATATATATATATATATATAAGGGAAAGAAGTGTATACATAACGGCTCATTGTTCTGTGTTTTGGCACAATAATAATGAGATATAACAGACTATAGTACCAAGGACTGTATAGAGGAAGTTATTAGAACCAATGTAAAGTAAATACGAAGAAAGAAAAGTGGGTGAAAAAATAACTTGCCGTGAGTAGGAATCGAACCTACGACCTCCGAATTACGCCTTGGCATTATTGTCTGTTAGATCTCATTATATTTTGTCAAAACACGGAAAAACGAGCCCTTGGGTATACACTGTATATATATATATATATATATATATATATATATATATATATATATATATATATATATATATATATATATATATATATATATATAAGGGAAAGAAGTGTATACCTAAGGGCTCGTTTTCCGTGTTTTAACACAATATTAATGAGATATAACAGACAGTAATGCCAAGGAATGTACAGGGGAAGTTATTAAAACCAATAGAATGTAAATAAGAAGAAAGAAAAGTGGATGAAAAATTACCAACTGTGAGCAGGTCGTAGGTTCGATTCCTGCTCACAGTTGGTAATTTTTTCATCCACTTTTCTTTCTTCTTATTTACATTCTATTGGTTTTAATAACTTCCCCTGTACATTCCTTGGCATTACTGTCTGTTATATCCCATATATATATATATATATATATATATATATATATATATATATATATATATATATATATATATATATATATATATATATATATATATACATATATATATATATATATATATATATATACATACATATATATATATATATATATATATATATATATATATATATATATATATATATATATATATATATATATATATATATATATATATATATATATATATATATATATATATATATATATATATATATATATATATTAGGGAAAGAAGTGTATACCTAAGGGCTCGCTTTTCCGTGTTTTGACACAATATTAGTGAGATCTAACAGACAGTAATGCCAAGGAATGTACAGGGGAAGTTAGAACCAATGGAATGTAAATAAGAAGAAAGAAAAGTGGATGAAAAAATAACCAGCCGTGAGCAGGAATGCTCGGCTCCTGGGACCCGGCAAATGACAGAGTCTTTAAAAAGCTCTGCAGCGGGAGGTACCTCCGGCTACTCGAGAAGCTTGCAGTGAGCGAGACCATTGCAGCTTCTCGGGAAGTGTACTGCGCACACGTGGCCATAAAGTGACTGTCACTCGCTGGGCCACGTGCTGACCAAGTCACCCTCCCAAAAACATCGCAAAAATAAGAGGCGACACTACACAGCACACGCCCCTTTCTCTTTTTCTCCCCTGCTATTTCCTATTTTTCCTTCTCTGTTTCTACACAGTTCACTATACACCACCTTCTTCCTTTCTAGTTGAAGGCTCCAAAAATGAGAACAAGTTTTTCCTTTTCGGTGAGGAATGTTCCTAACATTTTTGAAAACCTCTGTTCTTATCAACTTAATATCTGATACGGATCCTGTTTGGATCCAAGATAATAAACTTATTTTTGTGATGCGGTGGAGTGCTTGAAGCTTGCTTCACCTCCGCCACGGGTTGGCCCGGTATTGCACTACCTCCGGGATGGGCCCCGGAGGTAGTGTTTCCTGCTCACGGCTGGTTATTTTTTCATCCACTTTTCTTTCTTCTTATTTACATTCCATTGGTTCTAATAACTTCCCCTGTGCATTCCTTGGTATTACTGTCTGTTAGATCTCATTAATATTGTGTCAAAACACGGAAAAACGAGCCCTTAGGTATACACTTCTTTCCCTTATTTCATTTAACGAGGGTCTCGTACTGGCAGACTTGATGTCATTAGGTTGTATACGAGGGACTATTAATCAGCTGCCCGCTCGTAATAAGTTCACGTGCTACGTGAGGCCAAACATGCGCATAAAAAAAAGAGTGGTTCACACTCGTCGCTTGGCTTATAGATGGCGCTGACTGTCACTCCTACTTCTAAATTCACATATAAAACCAAAAAAAGAAAGTGGATGGAGGGAAGGCCGCTGTCAGTGGTTAGAGCATCGAACATCGAACGCGTTATACGAAGGTCGTAGGTTCCTGCTCACGGCTGATTATTTTTTCATCCACTTTTCTTTCTTCTTATTTACATTCCATTAGTTCTAATAATTTCCCCTGTACATTCCTTGGCATTACTGTCTGTTAAATCTTATATATATATATATATATATATATAGTCAAGTAGATCCTCCGTGAGAACGGTAACAGCGGAAGCATTTGTTTCGACAATTTCGGCCAGATTCTAGCCTTCGTCAGGAATAAGGGTACATTCTGTTCGCTTGCACATTCATAATATTTTGAGCAACAAAATTAGAGCGAAAGAACGGCTAAGACAGAAAACAAGAAAGAAATGACAAAGAAGAGGGGGGGGGGAAAGTTGCAGGGTTCACTGCGCTATGCGAGTGGTGTTCTATGTATTTTCTTAGAAGCATCGCGCTCAGTCTAGTTCAAGTTTTCAATTAACATACGAGGAAATCTAACATGCGATTCCTCTAATGTGGTATATCTACTTGAATGCAACGTGTGCGGCAGCATCGGACAAACGGAAACACCCTTTATGATTCGTTTCAATAGTCACAAAGCCCACGCAAAATCAGCCCCGAATCTACCTCTATCAAGACACCTTAACCTTCTCGGCCATCATTCATTCTACAAATTGTCAGTCGCGCTTTCAGAAAGAGGATGTAAATAAAACCGGGAATGTGAACAATGTGAGTCGTACCTTATACGCCGATATAACACCCTCGAAAAAGGCATAAATTAAAGCCTGATACACTTGCAGCAATTAAAGCACTATAATATATATATATATATATATATATATATATAGATATATATATATATATATATATATATATATATATATATATATATATATATATATATATATATATATATATATATATATATATATATATATAGGCAGGCAGGCATGGTGGTTGAGTGGCCGTAGCGTTGCATATAGTCAAGTAGATCCTCCGTGAGCGGTCACAACGTGGTTTATTTCGACGTTTCGGCCTAGAGACTGGCCTTCATCAGGATTAAAGGTACAGTTGGTTGGTGCTCAGCTTTATACAATCTCAAATCAGAGGGAAAGAAGAAAAAAGACAGAAAAAAAGAAGAAAAGAAAAAGAAGAGAAAAAGGGAAAACAGAAAAAAAGAGAAAAAGAATATAAGGTGGACTCCTCCCGGGTGCCACCCTTCCACTCTTCCTTCCACATCCCCCTTCATCTCTCTCCTCTTTTTCTCCTTTACCTTTCTGATGTCAGCGGTCTGTGTATGCTTCCTTTCACTAACGATTCTTCCCGACCAAACGTTGCCTCCTGGCCCTGGCGGTTCGGTGTGGGGCAAAAAAGAGCTTTTTAAGGAAGTTTTAAGCCTTTCACTACTCGGCGCCCCGTCAACATTTCGTAGTAGAAAGAGGGGTGCTGCGTATTGCGGCAGAGGCTGGTAAGCAGGCTTTTTAGGAAGTTTGAAGCCTTGAACTACTCGGCGCCCCGTCAACATTTCGTCGTAGAAAAAGGGGTGCCGCGTATTGCGACAGAGGCTGGTAAGCGGGCGCAATGCGAATTCCTTGACCGCTTCTGGATTACGCGTGCAGAAGGGGCCTCCCGGCTGTGCACAGGGTTGCTGTTGGGCATGTCATGCATGGCACAATTGTTTGGGTAGTAAAATAAAACAGAAAACAGACGACAGCTGTACTTGGGAAGAGTAGTTACACTTGGAATTGTTTTGAGTTGTCCAGTACCCTTCGCAGCTGCAGTCCCGTGAACTCAGTTACTATTTTAATTATTGCCGTTATTGTTTTCTAATGCTTTAATTGCTGCAAGTGTACCAGGATTCGCATTTATTCCTCTATCGAGGGTGTTAAATCGGTGGATAAGGTATGACTCTCGTTGTTCACGTTCTAGGTTTGATTTAAATCCCATCTCTAAGAGCGTTACTGAGAGTTAGTCGAATGCATGGTCGGGAAGATTAACATGTTTTGATAGGGATAGATTTGGGGCTGATTTCGCATGGGCTCTGTGATTATTGAAGCGAATTCTAAATGGTGTTTCTGTTTGTCCGTTGTACTGCATACTACACACGTTGCATTCGAGTAGGTATACCACATTAGAGGAATCGCATGTTAGGTTTCCTCGTATGTTAATCGAAAACTTGGATTGTGTGCTGGTTGCTTTGTGTGTTTCTCGCATCGCCTTACATACAAGACATCGTGACTTTAAACAAGGTCGGCATGAATTATTGGGGGGTGAGGTATTGATTTGAGAGTGGACAAGTGTGTCTATGAGAGTGTACTGTACAGTCCTGTACACTGTAGCCATTTTTCATTCTTGACTGACCGACCGACCAGTTGATAGCGGTGCTACACCGCTAATGGAGAAACCGTATTTTGTCATCCATGTGGAAAGCAGGGAGAACACATTGGAAAAGTCACCAATATCTTACACGTTTGACGTCCACTCTAGAGCACGCATATGTATTAAGCTCCCAACATTGCTTACGCAACCACCAATTTGAATAACTCTTGAACCTGCGCAAATAACATGAATTTTATGGTCAATTCACGGCACTCAGATTCATTATTTTGCTATTTTTATAACAGCACCTGTGAACTCGCATGCAGCAGGAAATTTGCGGCGCATTCTCGGTAGGATACAGGTATAAACTTTTCGATTTTATTATGCATACTAGAGCTCCTGCTATCTCACTTCGCCATTTGCCAACAGCCGCAAGGGAAAAAGTACAAGCGGAAGTGCACTAAAGAAATTCTATGAATCCAATGCATCTTCCTAGTGCTCTTCCCCTCATTTCTCTCGCAGTTACCACGTGAAAAAGTGTCAGCCGGAGCAGTACAAAAAAACAACGTTGCATTAAGCCAACGTTTTCCGCAACCAACGTCCATCGTCGAGGCCGTCATTCTTGTCTCATCTTTTTGCTGAAGGAAATTAAGAGAAGTTAATTTAGCGGAGATTTATACAAAGCATTGGTCACTGCTAACGTCCATTGCGTGAAAATAGAAAACAAGACATTCAAGATCTTTGTGCAACAGTACTGCAAACAAAATATAACATCAGACTCCGCTCTTCGCAAGCAGTACCTGCGGCCAATGTACGAGGACACTGTAGAAATTATGCAAGAACTCAGTGAATATATATATATATATATATATATATATATATATATATATATATATATATATATATATATATATATATATATATATATATATAAGGCAAAGCAGTGTATACCAAAGGGCTCGCTTGTCCGTGTTTTGACACAATATAATGAGATCTAACAGACAATAATGCGAAGGCGTAATTCGGAGGTCGTAGGTTCGATTCCTGCTCACGGCAAGTTAATTTTTCACCCACTTTTCTTTCTTCTTATTTACTTTACATTCGTTCTAATAACTTCCTCTATACATTCCTTGGTACTATAGTCTGTTATATCTCATTATTATTGTACCAAAACACAGAAAAACGAGCCCTTCCTTAAGTGTACACTTCTTTCCCTTATATATATATATATATATATATATATATATATATATATATATATATATATATATATATATATATATATATATACATATATATATATATATATATATATATATATATAGTGGGAGTAATAATTCAATGGGCCAGTTAGTCTTCGTGAAGGTATGGGATATGGCACAACGGGAGCGTTGTCAACAAGGATAAATATATTTATTTCCCAACAGTTTCGGGAGGGGACCTCCCTTCATCAGGGGATGAGTTATACTCATCCCCTGATGAAGGGAGGTCCCCTCCCGAAACTGTTGGGAAATAAATATATTTATCCTTGTTGACAACGCTCCCGTTGTGCCATATCCCATACCATATATATATATATATATATATATATATATATATATATATATATATATATATATATATATATATATATATATATATATATATATATTACCGTATTTACTCGCATAATCGGCGCACTCGCACAATAGGCGCACCCCTAGTTTGGTCGCGGAAAATTTGATATTTTTTAATTCCGCGCATAATAGGCGCACCCCGAACTTGGCCGTGATCAGAAACGATTCTACCCCCAGCGGTACAGTTGGAACGCGGTCCCCGTACCCTGAAGAAAAAAAGAAGGCAAATCGACGAGCAAATAAAAAAATTCGAAGTGCAACGACCTAACCAACGTGTTTGTCGAAATAAAACTTGAAAAAAAAAAAGCGTCCATGAGCGAAAAAAAAAACGGCTGTTCCATCAATTACTGATACCCCCCAAATCGCCGGGCTTTTTGGAGGTCACGTGTACAACGCCGGGGGCTCGATCGCCATCACCACCATCAGAGAAAAAGAAAGAAACGCCATGTTGCAAGCGGTGTGCGTATGTTGTGGTCATGTATTGAACTTTGGTTCCACCATGGGGAAGCACGCGAGCTACACGGCTGGGTTTAAACTGAAGGCAGTGCAGTACGCGCTGGAGCACGGCAACCGGGCTGCAAGCAGGCATTTTGGCGTTGGAGAAACCAGTATTCGGTACTGGAGGGACCAAGAAGAAAAACTTAAGGCGACGAAG